CACTCTCCCAAGTGAGCCACGGGCCGGCCCTAAATATTTTATTTTTAAATTACTTTATTTTATTTTATTTTATTTTATTTTATTTTATTTATTTATTTATTTTTTATAGAAGATGACCGGTAAGGGGATCTCAACCCTTGGCTTGGTGTTGTCAGCACCACGCTCAGCCAGTGAGCAAACCGGCCATCCCTATATAGGATCCGAACCCGTGGCCTTGGTGTTATCAGCACCACACTCTACCGAGTGAGCCACAGGCCGGCCCCAAAAGAGTGTAGTTCTGCCTGGGGATTTGGTTAGGACAGTTTTACAAGGAAGTAAAGCTTGAGAAGGATTTTGAAAATTACGTAGGTGCTCACCAAGTAGACTGTTGGGAGTGAAGGGCAGTGGGGACAGAATATTCCAGATAGAGGTAACAATATGTGTAAAGATATGGAGGTATGAAACAGCCTGGTATGCATGTCACTCAAGTGTAAAAGAGATGGGCAAGTAGAGAGTCGAGGACTAGGCAGGGGCCAGAGCCTGGACTCGCACCCTGGGGAACCTGGAATTCCCTTCTAGGCTGTTTCTCACATGGATGGACAATGGATATGCTGCCACTAGTTACAACGGTTTATCAATTTCCTTTTGAAAATGTGATCCCTACAGAGGTTAGACCAGAACAACCTATAACTAAATTAGCACCTCTCTGGTTCTGAGCTCCACACATTAACGACAACTTTTTGGGCAGCCAAATCATTTCATTGACTCCTAAGCTTGCAAGTTTTCAACAGGAACCACTGTATATCTGTCTTTTCCATTCCTCCTTATGAAGTCTTTTGTATCCCAAGTGCAAAATCTTACCTGATTTGGTATTGTTTTGTTTTAAGTTAAAAAACATCTTCTAACTCTCAAATTCCCTTTCCTTCCTGTCTAGATTTTTTAAAATTCTGCCCGTCATCAGTGTTCATCTATAGGATAATCTATACTTCCTAGCTTCTTGCTATCTGCAAATCTAACAAGCAGATTTTCTCTAAGTTCCTGATGCTAGGGGACAAACCTGAGTAAGGAGAGTCAAGGCCCTCGGGGTCAATGTCTTTCCTCTCCGAGCTTACAGTCTAACAAGAGAGCTGACATGTAAAGTGTTGTTGTCTAAAGAGGACTAGAGTCCAGAGAATAATCCTGCTCTTCCACTGAGCAGCTGTGTGACCTTGAGCAAGTGGCTTACGACTTTCCTGAACTTTAGCTTTCTCCTTCGTAAAGGGGAGTGGGGCATTCCACTTATGATCCTGAAGGTCAGTGCTGTTCATTCAGCAAGTATTTATTTATTTATTTTTGGTGGTTGGCCTGTATGGGGACCTGAACCCATGACCTTGGTGTTATAAGGCTGTGCTCTAACCAACAGAGCTAACTGGCTAGCCCAAGTATTTATTAAGTAACTACTGACTACTAGATGCCAGTCATTTTGCCAGGTGCTGAGGTTACATAAATGAATAAGTTATAGTCTCCGCCCTCAAGAACCTCTCAAGACTGAATGAAAGATAGAAAAAGTAAAACAGAATCATCATAAATCCTCTGATAGAGGTTTGTATATGGTGTGAATGAGTACAGAGGAGCACATGCTCTCGTTCTGTGTTAGGAAATCACGTAGTACAAGGCAGTCAGTGTTTGCCATTAAATATGAGTACTGATAAGTGCTGTAGGGATTTGTTATTGGTGCCAGGATCCCTTCTCCTGGTTGTTTTGAACTTCCCAGGGCCCCAGAGTAAACTTGGTCTTTGTGGTAGAAAAATCTTGGGCTCGTGTTAATTAACGTGCTTAGTGTATGTAACAGGGGAAGCTGCTCTCTGTCAGAGCCTGGCAGAGTCTCCCAGGATGCTCCCACTCAACTACCTCAGCCCCTCTCACCAAGGTCTGGATGAGTTTAAACATACCTTTTATTTTGACTTACTTCCATCTCTTCCCCTTCTAGCCAGCTCTCTCTCTTCCAATGCTAACAAAATTCAAAGGGTGCAATCCATCCTCCTTTGAGGCACTGGCCATGACATACATTACCCAATACTTAACCCCAATATTTAGCTATCAGGACACCATTCCACATTCCTCACATTCATCCAACTGAACTTATTAAAAACAATGGCCACCTCATATTGAGTGCCACCATGCACCAGGTTCTGGTCCTCTGCCATCATCATAGCCTCTTTGAGGACCCAGCCAACACCCCTGGCAGGAGGTCCATTGACCTTGTCCTTTCAAAGACCCTCACCCCCACTACCCTTTAGCAAACAAATCAAATGCCCACCACTTGAACATTGTCACCAGGAATTTCTCTACCTCCAAAATGCCATCCTGTTATCCTTCCACCTCCCAAGCCTGCCCTCACCTTAAGGGTAACTCCAGACCTCAACTCACCCCTTAACCTCTACACTCTAGAATTCCTTCCCAGCTTCTCTTATCTACCCTCATCCCATCCCTATATATACACAGACACAGTATAGAGTGGACAGTAACTTCAACTACACTTTCCTCATGTATCTCCTTTTGCAGTGGGAAGTTAGAAAAGGACAAGAGCGGGAAGAGGAAATCTAGTTATTTGAAGTGGGAAAACGAGATGTAGGCATGCACATCCGTAAAAACCACCACAGGAGACAAAGACAGGGATCTCCGCCTCCATGTTGGGTGCCATTCGGTTTGACCAATGAGCTCCCACCAGCTAAGGTACCAAACAGCAGAGATTACCAGGGCTCAACCAATGACCAAATGACACAAATCCAGCTGGGAGGACTTAAACCCGGGAAATATACCTGTTGGTGCTCTTGAGCCATTTTTTCTCGCTTGAGCCCGCTCCATCCTCTCCCTAGTGTATTCTCTTTACTAAATAAAACCACTCTTTGCTTTTCACCTCTGGAGTGTCTCATCCAATTCTTTGTTCGAGACACCAAGAACCTAGACTTAGCTGGTGAGACCTGCAATTTCCTCAGTTTCCCTTAACATCTTGGTTCCCTGACTGGGAACCTGCAGTTTCCCTTAACACTTTCATTTGCCCCTTGACCTTCTACTAAGTCTACCTTGCTGGTTCCTAACCTGGAATCTGGTTGTGGGCTTCTTGCTCCAGGGAGGGCCAACATTTCTGGTTTCTAACCTGAGTCCTATCTCAGGCATTTTTACAATCCTTTTACATTCTCCCAAGCTGAACTTTCCTTTCCCCAAAGCAATGGTTTCAAATAAGATTCCAATCTCCCCTTTGCCTTCCTCACTTGCAATGCTCAACTGTCCTTCAAAATACAGGGAAAAGTGAGACCATCAGGCAAAAATGTCAACTATGAAGGAGGTCAGGCTATTTATGTTGTCCCTGTGTTGCAGTAACCTCTGCTTCAAAATGTACTGTTGTTCCTTTCCAAAGCTCCCAAACTGTGGCCTTCTTGGCAGCCCTGCACTCACAGCTCTCTCTGTCCTCCATTGCCTGGCCTCTTTCCCCATAGCCTATGAGGATGACCAAATGTTTGCTTTTCCCTGAAATATTTACCCCATCTTTCACTTCCCTTGATTGCCAAATTTCTCAAAAGAGCCCAAGGGGAAAGACACTATCAAGCAGTAATGGGTTACCAAAATTGGGTTATAGAAAGCAAACACTGGCCCCCTGAACAAGGTAGAAGCAACCCAATGACTACAGCTGAAATCTAAGGTGAGAGACGGGCCACCAAACAAGAGTGGCCATATGCCAGTCTCAAAGAGTTAACGTGGAGCTCCTAGGGGCCAGAGGTGGTCCCCTGGCCTCGGGCAGGGAGATGTCTAAAGAGAAGAACATATGGCCCCAGCTGTGTGGTGGGGAGGAAACGGGGTAGGGACCAATCAGGATTGGCAGAAAGGGAACTTGGCCGTCATTACGTACCCTCTCCACTTCTATCCCCACCCTGCCATTGCAGCACCTCAGAGCTGTCTAGATACTCCTGCTGGAGGTGCCCCAGCCTGTGCATGGACGTCTCCATGGAGTGGGAATATGCTACTCCTCCAGGCAGCCCATTTCATTTTCAGGTGGATTTCTTTTTATTCTGAGTCTAATTCTGTTCTGAGGCCACACAGAAGTCTAGGCTCCTTTCTGATATAATAGCTCTGCAAAAGAGTGAAAATACCAATCATAGAACATCTCTTTTCCTGATGAAACACGAAGTTTCTTCAATAGCCCTCATGCATTTTCCACTCCAGTCCTCAAAGCTCCCCAGACCTGTGGCCCATCTCAATGTGTCATTAATAGCATGATAAATTAATCAAATACCTATCCACCTCCACCAGTTTCCTTTTTCTGTTTTTCCTTCTCTTGATTCCACTCATTCTAAAGGTCTTGGCTCTGAGCTCAACAAAGCCCAAATCTCTGCTGGTCCTGTCCTCCCATGGAAACCTACTGCCCTGTGCTGCAAGCTGCCCCTCCTGCCTCTTGGCTGTCTGACCTCCCTCCAAGAGCTGCCACAGCTCCAGCTCAGGCAGCTGAGCCTCTATTGCAAAAGCGGGGAGACTTCAGGTCCTGTTGCTCTAGGATGAACTGGCCACTCTGGCACGCTCACATCCGAAGACTGGAGATGTAGCCGCAGCTGTGCTTGGGTAACTGGACAGCAATTAAAGGATTACTGGCAAGAAACCACTCCTGATTCTGGTTTAATTGGGAGGGGAATTGGGGACTCAAGGATAGAGATGCCCCAGCCAAGTGTCCTCCCCAATCCACCTGCTCTGATTCCACTCTGGACTGCCACAAATCTAGGCAATTTCCAAAATAAAGTAATCATTAAATGAGAGGGTATATCGGGGGCAGCAATTAGTCAATTGGCCCCAGGTCACAAACCACATCTTCAGTGGTATCTAGCAAAGCCCCCTCCCAGCCCAGGCCTCTCCTGGTCTTCTTGCAGGTTGAACCAGTCTTTTTCCTCCCTTCCAAGTCTTTTTCTAAGTAACTCTTTGTATCTCAGCTCTTCTTTTCCTCAACAGCTATATCTTCTCATTCTTTAAAAAAAAGTCCAGCTGCCAAAATATTTTAAAAATTGAAAAAAAAAAGTCAGTACCTCTCAGCAATAGCTGTCGCAGTTACTGCTCAAGCAACAGATGTCACTTAACTGCTCTGAACATCAATTTTACTGTCTTCAAAGCCTAACAGTAGTGTCTATCTTATAGGATTGTTATGAGAACAAATAAGAGAATAAATGTGTGAATAATGTCTGCTATAGAGAAATGTTCAATGTTAACCATTGTTATAATTATACCATAAATTCAACAATGAATGTAGTGAACAAGGACTGGAAAGTGATATGCAAAAATTAAAATAACTGCAAAGGTGAATGAGATTATAAATATGTGTTAATTTTCTCTAAAAATGTTACATCATTTTCCAATAAGAAAAAGATATTTTAAATAGGGATCTGGGAAAAAACCCATACTTGGGACCTGAGTGCTAGTCTCTGCTCTTTCCTTCTGGGGCCCAATCCTTCTTCTACTCAGTTCCTACAACTGCTAAGGCATCTGTTGATGAAGAAGGTGAACAGCAGCCTGAACCCCTTGGAAACGACAGGGGGACATGTTCTAGAATCTAGAAGGTCCTGTCTTGATCAGACCCTAAGAGAACTTTGCAGCTACTAGTTAAATCAGATTCATTCATGCATTCACTCACCATCTGTATACTTTTTGAACCACTGTATGCAAGGAACTGTGCTAGGAGGTTTTGAAGAATTACACGTACCCAGTGTATGAGTTTGGAACAATCTCCAAAAACTATAGAAATGAAAAAGCAAGCTTCAGAACACTGTGTATAGAATGCTACCATTTGTATTAAAAATATATATATAAATATACATATTTATAAACTTGTAAATGCATAGAATTGCTCTGAAAAGATACACAAGATAGAGAACAGTGATTAACTCTGGAGAGGGGACTAGAGGCTGACATCCACTGGGAAATTTATTTTTTATTATATGCTTCTGTATTGTTGGATGTCTTAACCACGTATATGTATTAATTTTTCAAAACAAACTAAAAATAAAAGTAAAAGAAACTGCCTCGTGCTGAATACACAGTGGTGAACAGGGCGGAGTTTCCTCAGTCTTGGGGAAGGCAAAGTATTGAACTTGTTGGGCCACAACTGATAAGTTTTTAAAAACCAGACTGTTTACATAAGTTAAGGGGAAAGTTCTTTCTACAATTAGCTAATAGTAATTCAGCATATCATTTTACAGAGATAAAGCCATTGGAAATTAAATACTAGTCATTTGTCAAGCCTTAAGAGTATATTAAATTGTAGTTTCTACAAGGGTGGGGATCTTATCTGTTTAACTTGATCAGTAGAGCATTCACTGCAGCATAATGTGCAGATAAGTGCTTGTTACAGCAAGCATTTTCTGAGGATGACAAATGAGAGCACAACCATTAAAAAACATCTTGAAAAAGAAAAGATCAGAAGATACTGGACTCTGAGGGAACCATGTGTTCCCTATGAGGATTGGGCAACCTTTTCTGGGAGGTCCCCCCAAAATCCCAGTGAGAATGAAAGGTCATAGAGACACTGCATGTGTCCTCCTTGGGGTGACAAGGCACAGATGGACTCAAAGAGAATCTGGCACTTGTGGGGCACCCCAACTGTATGGGAAATAGAAAAATGGACTTCCGGACGGCTGCAAAGCACTGACAAGCCGGCAGCCAGCCAAAGCAGGCTTGGTCACTAAGGCAGCACAGCAGTCAATAGGCTTGACTCAGCACCATCATTACAGGTGGCCCACCACATCACTTAACCTCACTGAGCCTCAGCTGTCTTCTCTTTAAAACAGAGAATAACTGTGAGATCTTTGTGAAGATTAAATGAGAGAATCACCAGAAAGTGTTTAGCAAGATGCTGGGCACATGAGCAGGGCCTAAAATGCCACTATCATCACTATTACTGAATAATGGATAGGTGTCCCGGGCCAATTCATAACTGACAATCAGCATCCAAGTCTAAACAGCAGACAAGGTGTGCTCTACCCTCCATGCCCTAAAGTCAAGTAAAGAATCCCCTACATTCATGTAGTATTTTATAAGCCAGAAAATGCTTCCAGAATCATGATCTCACAAAAGCCTGTGAAGCCAGTTGGATGGAAATTACTAGCTCTGTTTTGAAAGGGAGGAGCCAGTGAGGTTAGGGGTTTTGTTAAGAGCTGGTTAAGGGCAGAACCCAGGCCATGACCCAAGTTTGCCAGTAAGTGGCTTGCCATTCTTCCACCCCACACTTGTTCCCAGGGAGCAGAGATGTATCTGGGGTCAGCATGGATGGTCAAACCTGCAATTTCACCACCTCGTCTTTATCTGCTCGAGCTTTCATAGTTTCTGAGCGGAAGGGGGTTCAGCTATCCATTTCAAACCCTTCTATCAGCCTCCTCTAGAATCTGCTCTTGTGAATGGACCCGGGGTGCAGGGCTGGCTCCCTGCAATTGGAATTAGGAAAGGGACAACAGCTAAGTGCGGCTAGCTCTGGCTTTGCAGGCAGCTGGAAGTAGGCCTGGCTTGCCCTTGCTACCAGCTTGACAAGCAGGGAGGTGGTGGCCTTGCAGGGAAGAGCCATCATTAAAATGGCACAGACAGCCAGTCTCTCTCTGAAACTGAGGCAAACACTAACCTTTTCCATTGCTAGCATTTTCACTAAAAATTTGGCATTTGATAGAGGAAGAA